GACACCAAACTGCATCCAAGGAGCAGCAGATGCCAGCAGACCAGTAACGCCATGGCCACGTGGCACCTTATGGATTAATAGAAATGGGTTAAGCTATAAGAGCTAGCTAGCAAGAAGCTTGAGCCATAGGCCATCCAGTTCGTTTAGTTGGGTCTGAGTGGCTGCAGGACCAGGTGGGAGACAGGAAAACTTCCAACTACAATCAAGCAAATGCAGATTAAAACCACTTTGAGATTCCATTTCACAAGAGTCTGAATAGCTAAGATCAAATATCAAAAAACAAACGCTGCCAAGGATGGAGGGAAAGAGGAGTCCCTCTTCACTTCCGGTAGAAGTGTAACTCTCGGGCTGTTAGAGAAGTCAACGTGAGAGTTCTCAAAAAATTTAAAAACAATGTGTAGCATGAATCTTAAAGAGCCTTTTTAATAAAAACAAACCTGGAGCCAGGTATTCGGGTGAATGCTGGAAGATCAGGGAAGCAGAACAAATCACACCTTCCTCACCTTGCCAATTTCTCAGCTGATCCTCTTTCCTCAGACTGGAAGCCTCTGAGTCCTCATCCAGAATCAATCTCAGCTGAACTGCTGCTCAAAAGCCTAAAAGCTTAACCAGCCTAGTTCCTGGTCCTCACACCTTATATACATTTCTGCTTTCTGCCATCATTTCCTGGGATTAAAGGCACAAGTCACCATGCCTGGCTGTTTTCAGTGTGGCTTTGAACTCACAGAGATCCAGAGGATCTCTGCCTCTGGAATGCTAGGATTAAAGGTGTGTGTGCCACCATTTTCTAGCCTCTATATCTAGTGGCTGTTCTGTTCTCTGACCCCAGATAAGTTTATTAGGGTACACAGTTTTTTGGGGAACACAATACCACCACAACAATTACCATATGCTTCCACCTATATGACTCATGGACATAGAACTGCATATCCTAGCACAGAGATACCTGCGCTCCATGTTTATTCCTGCTCTACCCACAACAGCAAGGAACTGGACAGACAGATGATGAAAATGTGATTCATAGACACAATGGAATTTCATTTGGCTGCTAAGGAAAATGAAATCATGAAAATTATAGGCAATGGGTGAGATTAGAAAGTACTATGTTATGCAAGATTCAGAAAGGGAAAAAATGCATGTTCTCACATATGTACATCCTAGCTAATAATGCTTACACGTATGTGCATGACTGGGGGTATGTGGATTGTACTGGCTATAAAAAGAAGACAACAAGGGGTGGGTAACTGAAGAAGGGGAGGGTACAAGTGACATTAATGCAGAAGAGAAGTGATCGTAGTGAGTGGGAGGGTGCAAAGAAGGCCCAGGAGGGATGAGAGAGAAGAAAGGGGAGGAGGATCAGCAAAACAAACTTTGTTTGAAAATGCCATGATGAAATTCAATCCTGTGTCAGCTGATTGAAAAAATAAAGTCAAAAAAGAAAAGGAAAGCGTAACACTGGTAATGACCTCGTGTGCTCCTGCACTCTTGGATTCTTAAGGCATTGAACACGGGTCTGGTTCCAGGCTTTGAGTGACTATGACCGGTTTGCTAAAGTGAGCAAACATTCATCGACTGCTTCAAAGCTGAAATTTGGGGTCTGGCTCTGAGGCAAAGCGTACAGTGGTGTCAGGAAGACAGGGGTCTGTGTGGAATGCCTGTGAACACAGACCTTCCGGGAGAAAAGAAGGAAGCCATCAGAGGACAAGGGACCAGACCTAGAGGGGCACAGAGTAAAGCAGTCTGGGATGTTTGACTCTCAGTGTCGGGGAAACACTCTCGGTGAAATGCACGCCCTGGTTATCTGCTTTCTCTGTGTCCGTGAGGAGCTGCCTCTGTGTGGCAGACGCTACAAGATGATGGGATCTGGAGCTCAGAGAGCTGGCATGCACACCTCCTGTGCTGTCCCTCAAGCTGTAGTGCACATTCACTGATGCTGGGCCCGCACATCTAACCATTTGGCCTAAGTTCTTTACTTGTAAAATGTGACAGCTTGTCAGGCCTGGTGGCCCATGTTTGTGATCTCGGAACTCAGGTGGCTTCAGCAGGAGGATCAGGAATCCAAAGCCATCCTTAGCCATAGACTAAGTTCCGAGCCAGCTTAGGTGACAGAGCAACAGGAACAGAACTACGAGTTAATTTAACGAGGAAATGTACAGCGCTGGTTTCCAGTTCACAGAAGAAGTCTTGATTTCCTTCTTTTCTTGGCCTTTTCCCCCTTCAGTCCAACACAAAGTCAGGGACCACTAGAGGTCAGGCTTTTTACATTGCTCTCTTTGAAGAAAGGCATTCAAGGCTTGTGTTCGCTGTCAGAAAGCAGGGGGTCTTCTACTCTGGCAAGCAGTGCCCCACTACAAGGCTGTTATAAACTGTTCTGTTCCCATGGATTTCTTTTTTTTTTTTTAATTTTATATGCATTGGTGTTTTACCTACATGTATGTCTGTGTGAGGGTGCCAGATCCCCTGGAACTGGCCATAGACAGTTGTGAACTGCCATGTGGGTGCTGGGAAATGAACCCAGGTCCTCTAGAAGAGCAACCGGTGCTCTTACCCTCTGAGCCATCTCTCCAGCCGCCCCCCATAGATTTCTAAGAAACAAAGGTTTCATAGTTCTCTGTGTCATCCACTTGAATATCATTTCAATCTACTGCAGTGTCCCGATGGAAATGGCTAATCATTAACCATGCCTCCTATGCAAGAATCAGCTGGAACGCCATTCCCACAGCTGCAAAATGAGAGTCTGATTCAATAAATAAGCAAGGTAGTAAGACTCCAGCCTAAGCAGCAACCCAAAATCACAAGGTCAGTGAATGGCTAGGATGGGATAAAAACTAGACATTACATAATTCCAAAGTCCATGCTGCACTCGCCACAAAATACCGACTCTCGCATCCTTCCAGACTCTACTTACAAAGAGCCATCAGTCACGAAGGAATGGGAACTGGAGATGAAGAGAGATTCCCCCAAGAATATCGTAGACAACTTGGCTTGGGCATGGGCTAAAGTTAGCTCAAGAAGCAAGCGCTTAGCTTCTCTTAGTACACGCTTCGACAGTCAGCGGTAAGAGCCATGGAGGTAGAGGACAACAAGCCCCAAAGCAGTAAAAATGAAGTATGTTCTGATGTGCTGGATCCAAACTTGGGAACCGCATGTGCTCCACCCTCTCCCTGATAACAGCTGCAAGTGTTTGTTTTATTCCTCTAACATCTGGACAGCCCGTGTGTAAACAGAATGGAGGTCAGCGTAGGGAAGGATCTGAATGGTCTATTTCTAGGTCTCCTAAGGATACAATGATCTGGGACAGAGTCTGAGACAGGGAAATTCTTTTGGGCTTTATGACAGTGCCAGCAGCTGTTTCCAGTGGTGCTCAGCAATCTCTTACTACCAGTCCGTTTCTCTACAGAGTGGGCTACTTGCAAAGAAAATAAATTTATTTCCCATAGTTCGGAGGCTAAAAGGTCCAAGGTTAAAAGACCACACATATGCTGAGGATCTCCTTGCCTTCTTCTTCCTAAGGTAGCACTGGACATCACATGGCACAACAGAAAAAGCTTGCTAACTTGGAATCTCTCTTCCTCTACCAGTGAAATCACCATGGCAACTACAGTCTCCACCCTAAGGACTCCATCTATCCATCTACATTAAATCTCATCAGCACCACTTGTGAATACAATGGACATGTCTTTGAGGATCATTTCAATATGAGGTCTGCAGGTATCAGACATCTATACTTTAGCATTTACCTGTAATTCCCTTTCATGCTGTGATGGGTATGGTTGGATGGTGGTAAGCGCTTCCGATGGTCCAGGTTCTAGTCTGGGCTCCACCAATGGCAGATCTTGAGCCTTTGGGAACATTATTCTTTTCAGGTCTCATTTTACCATGTGGGGTCATGAGTTGGCAAAGACTAACCTAAGGTTTCATCAAGATTTACTGTACAATTTTTAGTCATAGCTCTAGCAGCTAGTGTATAGAAATATCCTGATTTTGTGAAGCTATTCCTAAACACTGCTTCTCTTGGTCTACTGGACATGACACTTCAAAGATTACCAGCCCTCCAATTCCATATTTTCCTAATAGACAAACTTCTCCCAAAGAACAAGTGCACATTACCATCGGTGTTTACAGACAGAATTCTACCCATCAATAATGGCTTGTCTTCAAACGGTTCCTAAAGAAAGGCCCTCTCCTTACTTAAAATCATTTTCAAAAGATCATTTACCCACACATGCTTAATGTAAAACATGATGTAGCTATTCAAATACACTTTTAAAGTTCTTCAGTGTATTTTCTTCTTCTAAAAAGTGCATTGAGGTTATGGTCTTATTGGAAATAAATCTACTTAAATGAAATGCAAACACAATAATGAAACACTGAATTTGTAAATACATCTTGAATTCCAAAATCGTTCACTCGGTGTGGTAGGCAATGAATAGCTGATTAAGAGATTAACTGGCAGAATAATAAAATCTGGACGTAGAAACTGAGTTATTTGATGGAATATTCTTTTTAATCCATCAAGTAAGCATCAGTAATAGGGATGTTCTTAATTTATCCTTATTTCACTGGACTTCATTCTCCCCTTTAATTTTTCTTTCTTTTAAAAAAAAAAAAAACCACGTTATGATCTTTTAGGGTTAAGTTAACACACTGAACTAGAAATGGAGATACATAACAACCTTGTGGATTGAACGTATTTTATTTTAGGATGGTGTTTAAATATAGGTGGCTCAGAATTCTCCAGTGTAGAAATCTCCCCTCCCCCTCTCTCCCTCCCCTCCTATCCCCTCCCTCTCCTTCCCCTCCTCCCCTCCAACCTTTCCTTTTATCCTCTCAGAAGAACTCCAGTTGGCTCTACTTCCAAGATGGCTGAGACTGTTGGGGCCTGATGTCATCCAGCAGAGGGCGCCCTTGGAGCAGATTTGGGTATGACCATGGAAAACTCCGGGAGGACAATGACAGCTTCCTTTACCAGAGGATGACTTTGTGTTATCTCAGTTTCACACTGACCTAAAGACCAGCTCATTGGTCCTCCTTGAATTGTCTGAAAAAAATTCTGCTTGTAGTCATCACAAAAAATTCTCTGAAGATCTCATGTTTCGCTTCTATATTCGGAAGGAGGGGGTGGGGAACTAATTGTTGAAAAACAGAAACAAACAAACAATAGATTCAGAAATACACTACTGAGGATGGGAAATCAAGCAAAGATCAACCAAGGTAGGTCAATGTGTCAGAGTAGACGATATCTCCTCAGGCACAGACAACTTTCCGTCTCTTAAAGGCAACAGTAGATGGTTTGGGCAGAATTCAAATAACAGCACAAAATCAACACTGGGTCAGGAATGGATAGTACAGATCCATGTACTGTCAGAGATCCATGTCAGAGCCCAAGAACAATCTTAGCAATGTTCTAATCTAGCAAATACATATATATACACATGCTACCCAAATATATATGTGTGTGTGTGTGTGTGTGTGTGTGTGTGTGTGTGTGTGTGTGTGTGTGTGATACCAGGGACCACGCTCCAACATGTAGCATACAAACCAAAATGAGTGTGAAGGAACAGTGGGCATCTGGGATGCAGACTTGACTCTAAGACTTCCTGCCTCTGTTCCTCTGGTCAGGTCCCACAGGTAAGCTTTTTTAAGCCTCATTGTCCTTGTCTGAGTGAGCTGAACCGTAGAATCTATGAGATACAACTCATGTCTTATGTTCTGAGTTTTGAGGCTAACGTATTAGAATTGAAATTCAAAATTTCCTTGGGGAAGGCATACAATGAAGAATAATGGTATGGCCAGCCGTTACTATGTGCATAAATAGGAACTTGGAGATGAGGGCTTTCATCAGAGACTTTAGCCATATCCCACGTCAATCTCTTTCTGCCTGTTGGTCATCATCAGTGTAAGGGTAGGGAACATCGCTTCTTACCTTGTCTGGAGAGTCCAGGGGAGACTGGCAGAATGTCACCCAGTCACTCCACAGCAATGTTGACATTTCTGAATGAAGAGCAGAATGAAAGAACCAGGAAAAACTTCAAAGTCTGACTCCTCCACGTAATTGTTGAGTACATATCAGCCATGGATCTCAAGGTCATACAGTAATGGGCAGAATGGACCTGGAACATAGGCTAAATGTACCTTTTACCCAGTCACCTCCTTAAAAATCCCCATGATCTATATGGTGCTGCTTAGGTTGTCTTTTCCTGGTTGGCCTTGGCGTCATGTGCTGCTTCTCCAAACACAGCTCTGCAGACACGAGAATAGTACATCAGTGATTTCTGTGGAAGCTGATGTTGACTGGTGTGCCATGGTTGGTTTAGGTCTTAGGTTGGCTTTAGTCAGTTCAATGGTCTTAAGTGCATTGATTTCCATACTTGTTACCCTTACTTGGGTAACAAGTAAGGGTAGCTGACCTTACTTGGGTAACAAGCAAGTAGCTGACCTCTACTTGCTCCCTTTGCTTGTGTGTGGAAGCCTTCTTGAAACAGCACTGTCCAAAGCACTAGCGTTTCTGAAGCCAATTGTAAAGCAGGTTTGCAAGCGCAATCATTCTTAAACCCAAGGAAACCAGTGTAAACCAAACACTTTCGTGACATTTTTACACGAATCTTTACCTAAGGCCCTTAGGTAACCTGAGAGATGCTATCCTGACAGCATCATTATAACAATCTCCTACAGAGGATCTCACAGCAAGCCTTGGGACACACCAAGTTGGACTTCCAAGGGACAGTTCTGAGGCCCCCAAGCCATGCAACTGTAAAGCTTCCTGGGACTCAAATGTGGGACATGGAGCTAAAGAATGGCTGGTAGAATGGAGACACAGCAGTCTTTTCAATATGAGTGTCTTGGATGGGCTAGGAAGTAGACCACAGACAAGTCTAGACAGAGGTCAGCAGCCCGGCCCTCAAGTGCAGATGTGCCATGCCTTGGCCTAGATAATGATGTTTGTGCTCCAGACACCCAGAGATTCTTCTAGACTTGATCTTGATCTTGAGATGGGCTAAGCTTCCTCCCCAAAGAACAAGGTTCTGGAGTTGGTTTTGTGCCTAACCAGTCAGTTACCTCCTTCCCACCTCCTCTTCCTTCCAAGTACCACACACACATGCAGTTTCCCCATGGTCTTCACTGCATTGTGACAGCATGGTGGAACTACCACGGAGCTATCAAAAGCCAAAAGGAGGAAAAATAAAGTTCAAATGGAGCCAAGTTGCTTCCGGTGACAGCACCCAGCTGATTGCTGCCCTGTGTCCAACAGCCAGGAGCTCACTGAAACACACTACAGATCTTGCCACAGCCCAGTTCAATGACCGGTGTTGACAGCCTATAACCCTCAGGAACATCTTGCTGGCCCAGCCCAGCCCTGAAGTTCTCCACACTCTGTCCCTGTCCATGTCTTTCTTCTTAGCCTTCAGGCTCCTCACCTCCTCAGATTCTTGCTCCCATTCAAGCGGACCAGATTCCCTCCCACCTCCACATGCAGACTGACCCTCACGTCCATTTCCAGTTCCTACCAGGCTGCTGCCAGTGAACCAGCATCCAGAAGCCACGGCAGCAGCCTAAGGGAACTTCCCACACCTCCTCCTCTATCTGTGCCCTGCCAGAAAGCAAAAAGGAAAACATACTGGCAGCTTATTTTTACTTTAATAATATTTTTGTGTAATTATCAAGGACTCTTAAAGCCTCTTGCCCCTCCTGTGTGGTAGAAATAATAAACACGCCCATTTTATAGGGGAGATGAAGGAAGTGAGGCCTAACACACAAAAACGGAGTATGAATCATCCCCAGCAAGCAATGAGTCAGATGAGATGACCCAGGCCTCCTGACACTGGAGCTGGGGGCCCATTCACAAGGCCGGGCATCCTGCCTACTGTTATTTCCAAACATTTAATATCGTCTGCAGATTCATGCTCCTTGCACTGGCTCATTTTTGATGAAGTTGTTTGTTGTGATGTGAACAGGCAGGGGACTTTGTCTTTTCTAAGTTCTAGAAGAACCTAAAACATTTACGTATTTTACTAGGAGCTTTAAAGTTCCCCAAAATGAGGGGCTTCTTGGGAAACCTTATAATGATAATTCGGAAGAGTTGCCCTGTCAAAAAATATTGAGCAAGGCCAAAAGTCCAGCTGAATGATTTGCAAATGCAATCATTCTTAAACCCAAGGAAACCAGTGTAAACCAAACACTTCCGTGACATTTTTACACGAATCTTTACCTAAGGCCCTTAGCTAACCTAAGAGATGCTATCCTGACAGCATCATTACAACAACCTCCCTCAGAGGATCTCACAGCAAGCCTTGGGACACACCAAGTTGGACTTCCAAGGGACAGTTCTGAGGCTCCCAAGCCATGTAACTATAAAACTTGCAAGTGGGGGCTCATACCCAAAACCAGGTGGTGCTCTTCAGGGGTGGCCGATGCCTCTTTTTAATACCTGCTGACAGTTTTGTTCTGTAGGTGCTGAGAAGCATAAGAAGGGTCGTGGTGAAGCTACTTCTTGCGAGATCCAGGTATTTTGAAATCCTGGGAAGACTTGTCAAAAGAAAGTGGTCATGGGTCTTCCTCCAGGCCATCCCTATGGAAGAAAGAAAGGAATAAACAGCAGCCTGCCTCCAGAAGGCTGGTGAACCGGGTAGGGTTGACAGCCTCAGGACACCCTTCAAGGCAATCCACCACTTTTAGCAAGCCAGGTACTTGTATAAAGGCCCTCCGTAGGGTGACTGCATGATACATAACCCAAACCAGGCATTTTAGCATGATGGAAGGAGCTACTCATGATTTATTTTAAAATGATAAAACATTATCTGAGGATAAAGGGCGTAAACAAAGAAGGTGAATCAGTACACGAGATGGATGGCCTTTGCCATTGGTGTTAAGGTTGACAAGGAATGATTTGTACCCATGGAGCAATAACTCCCAGGAGAAAGGGCTACCACAGGCACAAAGGGGCATAACCAGAGCCTGCGTGGTTATCTGGAGACATTAGTGGGGGAAAAAACACTATGAAGAACTAAAAGAGAAAGAAAGTGAGATGTGAGTATCCACGCGGAGGTTTGAATGTATGGTAGTAAGAAGTCAAGCAGAAGCCGCCAAGTGCGGAGACTGCCAAGCCTACCCTCTGTAGGCTACTCAGCGAAAGGCAGAGTCAATCTGATAGGACTACGGTAGACCAAGGATGACAAGAAGGAGGCCCGGGCCAGGCTGGGCTTGGTTCTAATTACCAGTCTCTGCAGTGGACAAGCTGTCCTCCATTTCTAAGCATAGCTGAGCAAACCAATCCTCCTTGCCCAGGGTTTGCTTCGTGGCCCTCTCCCCTGGCCAGTGATCTCTGTCAGTGAGCGAACCACTTCCGGTTTCACTACCGAGCACTTTCTCTCTCTAGCCACTGGAGAAGTGGGTCTAGACATTGGCAGGAAGTACCTTTCTGGCAGTCCAACAAGGCCAGAAAACTGAAGGGGGTACTTTCAGGGGCTCTCCCCTTATTTGACATTTTACCTCTGAAGCACCCTGGTGAGACCTCTCTGCTTGCTTTCCAGGACTTGCACGCATGTCCAGCGTCCCTTTAGACCTTGGGGGGCTTCCAGAGGCCTGAAGGTCACAGGATCTAAGAGGGACTTTCTCCTTTGGTCCTTGAGACCTCACTGTTGGTGAGGTGGGTTAGGAAAGAGTAAGCAGGAATTCACGAGAAATGATTGACAGCTGGAACAAGCGCCTATCAGCCAGGCCCTGGGATGTGGAGCACAAGAAGCCTTCCAGCCAGCTCTCCTCAGGAGGGACAGAGGGGAAGAGGGGAAGGAAGAGGAGCAGCAGGAAAGGGGAGGAGCAGAAGAGTGGCCAAGGGCTTCACTAGAACTTTCTTCTTCGCCCCACCTCCAGCCTTACCGCCCTCCCTTATTTCCTCCTCGCAACCCAGGAAAATGGGTCTGAGGCTGTGCGGCAGGGGAGGGCTGCGGGGTGACATCTCCACAGACGCTGCAGCTTGGCCCTGCAGGGTTTCTGGGGCCTTTGAAAGGCCACTTGTAAACTCTTGGGGCCGAGCGAGCGGGGGCAGCCGGGAGGAGCTGGGGCGCGGACAGGAGGAGACTGGTCTGCCTTCAGTGCCTAGAAATCAAAGCAGCCAACCTTGGGCTTTTTCTTCCCTTCACACTGAGGCACTTTTATTGGCGAGATGAAGGGAGGCAGAGAAGGCCTACAGCCCTCGCTTCGCTTTTGGAGGTTAATGACCCAGTTAGCAGCTCTTGGCTGAGTTTCCGACATTTTGCAGACATCAAGCCCCGCGCCTCTGCCAAGTACATTCTGTTCCCTGGAGCTCATCCAATGCATCTCAGATTACTATGTAATGCGACAAAGAGGGAGAGGTGGCTGGGAGGGGCCCGGAGAGCTGGGCGGGGTGAGCGGGCCGTAGCCGGCGGAGGGCGGGACGCAGAAGCCGGCTGGCCGGGAAGGGGATGCCGCTCTAAATAGAGCTGCTTTCCCGGGAGTCACATCCCTCGAGGGGCTTCTTAGTGGGAGAGTGAGCCCAAAGGGAGGGTAGATAGGCCCTGTCCTCCAGGAATCCTGCCCCGCAGAGCCCCACAGGCTCCGGGGTGCAGGTGGGGGTGGGGAGCCGGAGACGGGGCGGGACGGCCCGAGGAGGAATCCAAGGGGCGGGCCTAGGGGTCCGGCTCCGCCCTCCCGGCTGCCCCACTCCCACCCCAGCAGCTCCAGGGGTGAGCAGCCTGCGAGCTAATTATAGACCTGAATGGAAAGCGGCGCTTTTGAATGATCTTGTTGCTCCCACTGCCTTTCGAGGCTGAGGAGCAGGTGCGGCCCTGCTAGATACAAAGTGATTCATTTAAAAGCCCTCTGTCACGCACGCTCACTTACTGACACACAGGAATCCTTGTGCGCTCCACCACCCAGAGGATTCCAGAACTGGCTTAAAAAGACTGGAGCTCAGGAACGCAGGACAGAGACCAGGGGACTTTTCAGACCTCTTCACCACTCTTTAGTAATCTCACACCGAGTAGATGAGAGGGTCCTAGGCCTTCTCAAAATGTTTAAAATGAGGGTCTTGTTTTACAGGGTACAGCTGGAGAGACGGAAGCAGGGACGTGTTCTGAGAAGTGCCTGTGAGAGCCAGGGAGTCAATGTGAGGTTAAACAGAGAGGCTTGGGGTCCTGCCAGCCCCCCTCTCTCTCTGCCTGACCAGATTGGAACTTGAAGTCTCCAGATCCGAACCTCCTCCCTAGGTGTGACACCTACCTGTTGTACCTCCTAGCCCCGGTCCCACCAGTAATCCAACTGAAGCTAGCAGGCAGTTAGCAGGTCTGGGAACAAGTAATGCTGGAAAGTGTCCATTTTCCCGTGTGTTATGTGTGAGTTAGTCCGATATGGCTCTGTCAGCATAAATCCTTATGAGGAACTCTGAGGGGGTGAGGAGGGGAGAGCGAAACACAGACTTTCTTCCCCGTCAGCATCTTAACACCACCCACCTTGGGTTCACACTCAGTTAGCCAAGACTTTTCCTGACCATGATGACCCCTTCCAGGCTGCATAAGCACCATCAAGTCCTGTTCCCATTTGACGGAGTCCTTGCAGAAATGGAGTCTTGGAGGGAGGAGCTGACTGGCTCATGGTCATCTGACGATGAGTGTCTATGGAGAGAGCCAAAAACAGGCCTGCCTGGATCCTGAGATGAAGTCAACACATATCTTTTCTTCGGTCAAAGCATCAGCCCACTCAGTTACAGAGAAACAATGGCCGTAAGTAACCTGGGTATTGGCTCTCTGGTCCCAGGCCTCGCCCTGGAAGTCTCCCATATCCCCATCTCCCATTTTTGTCCATACTGGACTCGGAGAACTATTGTTTTCTCTAGGCAAAAATCGCTAAACTCAGCCAGTATGTCTGACGTTAAACAAAAAGCCAACCCATCTCATCACCGGGATCTACCAGTACCACCTCCCTCACCTTTGCCTGGCCATTTTGGACCCAACCTCCTCCCGACCGGCCTTTCCTGCCACTCCGGATCTCTATCCGTGCCAATGGATAAAAGACGCAGCACTGAGTAGCGTGCTGAAAGAAACAGAAATTGGGGGTAGAGATTATTTTAATTCCTTGTCATTTGCTTCTCGGAAGGCAGTTCTGTATCTTAGGCTTTGTAAGTCCCCACCCTCCCCAACATACACTGGGTTCAGCCCAATCCTTTGAACACGGTAAATGAAGAAATACAGTCATAAACTCACACGTGACGGTGCAATATTGTATGTACCTAAACTGGCCATTGCCGCATTTCTCTGAAAAAGAGATGAATTTGAGCCTTCACGTATCAGCCTAGGATCCGCTCTTCTCTGTAGTCCGCATTATGTTTTGTTCTCCGTGAAAATGGACATAACCACGGCTTCTAGACGCATTGCTACAGGCCTGACTCAGTAAGGAACACAGTGCTCAGAAAGTCTCTTCAGCCAGACTACCTAATTGAGAATCTCAATTCTATTTTCTGACTTGGATGCATTTTTAAGGTTCCGTGTGTCTCAATTTCATCAAGTATAAGAGGATAGCAATAGTACATACTTTATGATTATGTGGACGAAATGAGTAAATGTAAAGGGCTAAAAGATATGCCTGGCACATAGTTAAGTGTTCAGTAGAATAAAGATGAAACATATATATAGGGACTTCCTAGAATAATGCCTATCAGAGAGTCCACACTCACTAAATAGCCACTGTATGTTTTTTCCCCCTCATTTTTAGAATGGAATTCTCCCAAGACTAAATTTGAATACTATATATGAAAAACTTGTGGGGCTCTGTAAGACAGCTCACAAACTACAATATTAACTTTGTTGCTTGGGTGCACTGATTTGGTAAATATTATGTATCAACTATGTGTGATCATTCTTGATGTAGAGAGGTAAACAATGCCCATGCCTTCCAGGGGATGATAAGTAAGGACCTGTTGTGAATACACAAATATCTAATACCAGGGGAAACTGGTGCTCACATTGATTGCACAAAACATCAAGTGTCATAAAGCATCGAGAAGCACAAGCAGATGCCTGTAGGTGGGATCAGGGTGACAAGGACCACAGTGGGCCTCCTGCTACTCCACAGTACCTTGATGTGTACTTTCACGTGCCGTCTTTTACACTGGCCTGTGAGCTCCATGACATGTGGAAATGGGGATCTCCATTACTTACATACTCCTGAGCATATGACTTGAGCTAATGAAAACTCCCAGGTCCCGTGGCTTACAGGACAGTTGAAATGGTCCAGAAAGTAGGTAGCCCTAGGAACAATTTAAAATTGACTAAAAGGGAGTGCAGAATGTATCATAGAAGCATTTGAATCTTCCCATCCACACCCCTGTGTGTATGCGTACCTCTTCAAAACAATAAAACAAAATCAGAAAGCGTGCTGGAGAAAAATAGAATGTGAAACAAAGCTGAAAGACAATCCCTCCCATGCCCCTCCATCCCTCAGGCCTTAATTAACCATTTCTAAGTTCAGTCCTTCTTTGATTAAAAAATAAAAATGAAAGGGAGGAAGAGAAAGGGAAATGGAACACGCTGGAGAAAGCTACCAACTTAGGCAAGTAGTTTTATTGTTTTCTAAAGCCCTCTCGAACTGGATGCCATCCCAGCTCAAGTTAGAAAATACAAAAGAGATCCAACTGGTTTCAGTCACTACGGATTACAAGCAACTGAAGAAGCTTTGCCCACAGTCCTGGTCCAATCTTTTTAAACTGTCCATGGCCTCACTTTCTTCCTTGCCTGGGGGAGGCAGTTTGGTTCCGGGCTTCTCCAACAGAGGCACAGAATTCCCTCAGTGGAAGGAACAGCACCAAGAAGTTATGGGATTCATCCTCTTCCTGCAATAAGAGGAAACAAAGAAAAAGGAAAGAAAAAAAACGATGTGGCCAAGGCCACCCAGCTCAGTAGTGGTTGAAAAGAGGACCTGAGACTTTGAATTTCGGAGTTAGGGCTCTTCCCGTAAACCATGCCACTTCAAAAGGGAACTCGTTTTGCAGGAATAGGGGGGCTCTGATAGAAACAGGCCCGAATTTGAATCCAGTTCTACTGTGTACATGCTTTTAGCTGTTAGCAGGAAGCCAGATCTTCCGTAATAGCAGCAGCCATTATTGCAGAGCAGCTACTTTATGCCAGGCCCTGGGAGCATGAGAAACTAGGCCTGGACAGTTCAAACAGCAAGCCGTTGAGCCAGAGTGTGCCCAAGTTCATCTCACTCCGAACTCCACGTTCTTCCTTGCAGCTCACTGCTGCTGTGGGCCTCTGTTTCCCATCTATGAAATATAAAAAGGACTATATTCTGTTTTAGAATGAAAACGCTAGGCGTGGTTGTGCAGGCCTGCAATCCTAGCATTTGGGAAATGAAGACAGGGGCGTGAGGTCATCTTCTACTTCCTAGCAAGTTTGAGGCCAGTCTGGACTCCAAGAACAGAGATGAACAACGACAAAAAAAAAAAAAAAAAAAAGAACTTAGCACAGCACTTGACACATAGTAGGTGCTATATAAACCTTCAGATAGTATTTTTTTTTTTAATTTTCTGGAGCTGAGGACCGAACCCAGGGCCTTGTGCTTGCTAGGCAAGTGCTCTACCACTGAGCTAAATCCCCAACCCCTCAGATAGTATTTCATAGAAGAAATTTTGAACATGTTGACGTGTTGTGTTCTATTTTAGATCTCACTGTCTCGATTATATAACTAAAGAATGTTGGATCCTGTCACTCATCCTCACTGTACTTCTCTGCTATGCCCTTCTGGTTCCAGGTGTCTCTGATCATGTGCTTTCTTCTTTCAAAGGGTTGGCTTCCAACGGTGGGGAATCCAAGCAGAATAGGTAAGGCAGGATGGGGAATCAACTTTTTCCCTTACTGTGGGTACGCTGAACCACAT